GATGGCTGTGGAAGGGCAATGAGGAATGTGCATTGGGTGATAATGAGAAACATTGATATGACTGACATAAATGTCACACTAGGAAGAAAGTAAAGTGAAGCTAAGAGAGGACATTATAACTAACAGCTTCTGGAAGGGCCCAGGTAATCTTGATGAGGGTACTTACTTTCTAGTATATTGCAGGTTCAAGGAAAGCAAAGGGGAGGAGGTACCAAATGTCATAATCTGAGGGGTGTTTCTGAACTTCAGATTTTAGAAATGGATGCATTTTATGTGTGCTCATGGGCCTCAAGCTGAGGACAATGGAAAAAAGAGGTCAAGAAATGATGAGGCTAGACTGTTATTTGGCAATCTTCATAGATATTGAAGTCTCCAGAGAATGGCAAGATTAAAAGTGGACAGGAAGAGCCATGTGCCAAAAACTTTAATGAAAATGTAAGCAGCAGAGACAAGAAAGAGAGGTTGAAGTGGTGTAAGCTTCAATCAAGGATTGTTTAAATAAGAGTAGATGAGACATATTCTAGGGTGTTGGAAGTTAAAAAAAAGGAACTAGGAGAGTTTCAACAATAACTTTAAGCCCTTACATATGGAGGAGCAATAAAACTAATGAAGTGGGGAGAGATAAAAGATAAGAATTGTTTTTTCCTCCACTTGATAGTTCTGTGAGGAAGTAGAAAAGCTTCTGTAGGAGTAATACTAGTAGGAGAAATCCAGGTTGTGGTAAAGGCAAGGGGATGAAGATAGTGTTCAGTGAAAAAGCTGAGGGTCCCTACTCTCTAATATATTGCTGTCTAACAGAACTGTCTGCAGTGATGGAGATGGACTAGATCTGCATTGCCCAATAGGTAGTCACTAGTCACATGTGGCTGTTGAGTAGCTGAAATGTGATCTGTGAGACTGGAGGGCTGCATTTATAGTTTTATTCAACTTCAATCAATTTAAACTCAAATTTAGATAGCCACATGTGGCAGGTGGCTATTGTATTGGACAATATAGTTCTAAAGGCTTTCCTATCGCTGTCAGCAAAGTTCCACTTAGTTATTAATAGGTAATGATAAAAATGTTACCCCTCTAAGTGGATATTTATATTTAAAGAAGACAGTGACTAAGATTAAAGGAGAAAATTCCTGAATAATGAAGTTCAAGTGCTGTGAAAAACCATAGAGGCTACTAGTTTGGGGGCCAAAAGGACTTTCTAGTGCTTCTGAAATTAGACCATGTAAGTGGTCATCTATGAGTAAGGTTAACCCTAATTAACAAGATTGACTTTATTAAATGTCAACTACATGTAAATGCAATAAGCAAGTATCTTAGTAAACTCTACATGGCACAGCCTTAACCATAGCTGAAAGGAGGAAAGGAGGAATAGACAAGATGAAGGAGAGATGTTGGGTATAGGGAGAGAAAAACATAATTAAGATTCCAGCTCATGTGCCTTTTATTTGAAATGCTGTTTTCACTATATCATTTGTGCATTAAAATGTCAGAAGTGACTGCCAAAAGAGTTGCTGTATGTGAGCACTAGTATTAAATCTGCTAGTGATCAGCTAACTAACAGTGCAGCTTAACCTCTCGGTTGGTTTTAATGTTATTTGTCTAAAATGGAGATTACTTTGCAGGAATGTTCTCGTATATGAGGACGCCTTAAATGTTTTGAAGAAAGGCAGTGATGGAGGGATCAATTGATGTAACACTTATTAAGCTGGTGATTGACTTTTTTTTCTTGATATTCAATAGTATACAAGTTGTAGATGAAATAATACAGATATCCTAAAACAGTGACAAATGAATACTTACTACAAATAATAAATAGAGTTTTGTGCACTAATTTTAAGTTTCTAAAATGCTTGATGTTCGTGTGCTTTACAACAATCAAATGAGGGTAATATATTGTATTAACATATAACATATTAATGTATTGTTTTAGTACAATAGTATAATGTTATTAACCCCAAAGTATGGTCAAGTTTTCCCAGTTTTCTCATCGCTGCCCAAGCCATTAGTGGGACATAGTTTACTATTTCTTCTGCTAAACAACACTAAGTTTTACCAGATACTCTATTAATATAATCTTAATACAAATGCTGTACATTCTCGTTTTGTGAGATATTCCATGGCTCTAAAGGTAACGTGGTAAGAGGTTCTTTAATGATACTGGCCAATTAGTCTAAAGCTTCTGGAGCCATTATAATTTGTGGCTTTATTTGGTAGCAGGATCAGAGAGCAGCCACCTTCTTCAATCTCAGGCCTGAGAATACTTAATGTTGATTGCTGATATCTCTCCCTCACATTTTGTTTTAATTTTTGTGATCCCCTTAGTTGAAGGGAAATAACTCTTACTTGAAGGAAATAAATGGAACAGTAAAATAATTGAGGTTTGATGCAGCCTTCAGGTTATTATTTAGGTATTTACCAGCTAAATGCAGGAATATTCCTAAATACTTAAATTCCAAACAGTAGTGATAATCCTGCAAATCTAACAGGATTTTAGAATTTATTTTCCAGAGGAGAAATCTATCTGTAAACCACTGTGGGTGAGATGCCCATGTTGCTTAAACCCTTAGTGGGTTAACCTAACATTATGTAAGAGATGTTGAGTTTTTTAGATTTTACTTTCATTGCTAAAGAAACAAACATGTTCATCTCAGGTAGACTTAAAAGCACAAAGAAATATTTCTTATTGCACTGCCTTAATCTAGAAGAATACCTTGAAAAATAAAAAGACTCCAATGGCATCAGTAAAATAGCAACAATATCTTCCTCTTCATAGGCTTGCTTTGAAGGCCCTGTGAAATAATGTATATATGTAAAGCTCTTGGCTCCATGCCTAGCATTCAATAGGTTTGCTAAAATGTCAGTTCTCACCTCTCTTCCCATGAATTCATACTGCACCAAAGCCTGTCATGTTATTATCTGAAAAAGTCATCACCATCATCCATGGCAGCTCTAATTTTAGACCCCTCAAGAAAGCATAGGAAGGGTTAAAAACTCTCTCTACGCAGGTAGAAAAACACTGCCAGTGTTGGCTTAAGCACTCCAAATCCTACCTTGACATTGCAATCACAAGCCTTACCCACCTTCCAAATTTCAGGACTTGCGTTGGGCTTGTTGCTGTAGATGATAAAAGCTATTAGAAAAGAAATAGTGTGGATAAAACACATAGTTTATTTCCTCCTCCAGGTGATCAGGAGAACATCTTTAAGGAATGAAAAAAATAATTAAATATTATATAACCTTCTTCCCCCAAATATAGAAAAAAATACCATTCTTCCCACCCTGGGTGGGGGGGTAGATGATTCCCAAAGATCAAGGTATCAGTGCAAATAAATTATACTCTTCCAAAAGGGTGATATTCAGTATTAAATACTGAAAAAGAAATGCAATGATCAAGGTAGAAATCTTTTTTTTTTCCTGTGGGGCTGTCAGTTAGCCTTTTCATTGTGGCTACGCATATGTAGTCAACTACAATAACCTTGTTTCTACCATGTTCATATGTTCGATGGTCAGAATGGCTGATATGTAAACTTCTTAATCAAAATTTAAATTCCGGAATCCAGATGTCTTTTTGCATCACTGTGTGTGTGTGTGTGCGTGTGTGTGTGTGTGTGTGTGTGTGTGTGTGTGGCGCGCCACAAATGTCTGCAAACTGGGGAGCTCAGGGGTTACTCATGGTGCAGCGTCTCCTCTAACTCCAATCATTTTAGCTCAGTGCTATGTTTCTTTAGAGGGAGATTCCCTGGGGTAACCTGCCTGAAAGGTAGGTGGTGAGGGGCATATGTACTTAGCAGCTCAGTACTCAGAGGCCTCCTTGCATGGCACTTGTGATGCTAAATATTAATAAAGAAGCTGTGTGATGCTGGCAGTGATTCTCAACCAAATTAGATATTCTCTAAGTGCCAAATCTCGCCCGCTGCATTTGAGTGGAGGAGAGCTGTCGCTTAAGATAAAGGGGTCTTGAACACAATACAAAATATTTGTTGCCTCGGGGCTCATATTACCCTACAGGAAGCGAAGGAAAGGGCACGGCGCAGAAAAGAAACAGACACATAGACACGTTTTGCAAAGATGAACTTTATGTGGCGTCAGGAATGGCAACCTGTTCTCATGTTTAGCAATTCCGAGGTAAGATGTTAAGCCTGTCGGGTTAAACTGAGTAAGGAACAGGAAATAAGAGGCAGCGTTGGAGAAGTCTCAGCAAGAATCCCTTTCAAAATATAAAACGGTCACCAAGTGACTTAGGTAGGCTAATCAAAAGGTCCGTTGTGTGCCCTTATACTTTCCTCTTAAACTTACGTGACCGTCAGCAGCGTTGTTCAAATTCAGCCAACAGCTGTTAAACCAAGACACAGATCCGCAGTGTTTATCTCCCGGGAGTTACCGGTGTTCACTGAGACCCTCCGAAAATTAGGGTCATTTTTCAATGAAAATAATAATAGAGGATCCTTCGCCCCCCTCTGCTTCCACGGTCTCAAGCCTTGTTCCCCCTCCCACTTGCCCGAGATAAGATTTCTTAAAAACAGTAGCCCGTACCCGCCCCCCCCCCCCAATTCAGGTGCACCACCCGCAGCCCGAACCTTAGTTCAGACACCCACATTCAATCTTCCTCTCCCTAGCTTACTTCTTGAGACCCCCTAGATCCCTTCCATTTCTCTCTCTGCTTTCCGGGAGTCAGGTTCCGAGATCCCCGCCTCTTCCCTGCGCCTTCAGCTCCAGTCCCCAATCCCAACCTCCTTGGAGACTCTGATGCCCCTCCCCTGGAACCTAAACCCTTCTCTTCTCCCAGAGACCCCCGTCCCTCCGCCATCTGTGCTCTCAGAGTCCCGCCCTACTCACCCCCTCCCCACTCCCCAAACCCCCACCACCACCTCCCGCCCTGGCCAGTGCGGTCCCGCCGGCTGCAAGCAGCCGGGACCTGTCTCCGCTCTCCACCACTCCCCCCACCATCCCCGCCTAAACCGTCAAGGTTACGGCTAGCAATGCCGCCCGGGGTGGCAACTTACCACAAGCGTCCGGGAGGAAGACCAGGCAGCGGTCGCCGCGGCGGCAGCTAGACGAGAAACGGGCTCGGCTGCAATCGCCCAGCGGAGCCCGCGGCAGCCCTGCGCTGCGCGCCGCAATCCCGCGCCTCGGCAAAGGGACGGAGGGAGCTCGGCGCGATGGGAAGCGCCGGCGAGTCAACCTCCTCAGGGCGACGGTGCTGCCCGGGTAGGTTTGGCTCTTCTTGCTCCTATCTTATTCTGGCATAGTAACTGATCGCCTCCAGCATCTCTGCGCTAATCGCTTCTTCTTTCTTCTTCGATGGCCCCTAACTAACTACACTATTCTAAGCGGACGAAGACCACCACGCGAGCACCACGACGTCTCGACGACTCCAACGACAACGGTCTCAGGAAGAGGTAAGGAAAGTTCATATGCAATCGCAGGTGAAGGGCAAGCAAGCCGATGGAGCAGGCTCCGTGTGGCTGCTCCAAAGGCAAGCCTAGTGCACCCGAGGCAGGAGCGTCCTCGGCGAGCACCAGAGCGCCTACCCAGCGCCGGTGAAGCCGCACTGGGCTCTTGGGCCAACAGCGGGATGAGGGGCGGAGCCAAGAGCGGCCAATCAGCGCTCAGAATTACCCCGGCCCCGGCCTGTTTTGACCCCGCATTCAGTGCAACTCGAGTCTGCTGGCAGGGGGCGCGAGACCCCGCGGTGGCGGCGGTGGCTGTCGTGATTGACGTGATTCCCGAGGCCTGGAGACTGGGGGGGAACCGGGGTCAGTCGTGGTGGGGGGATGTCTCAGGAATGCACCCTTAAAGATTCAAAGAATACCTCTCCCCCAACACACGGAGTCCTCTGAACGTCTCAGTTCAACAAACACTTCTCAAATCTTAGAAGTTTCACCGAGGTTGAAAACTCCCTCCGAGGGTCTCCTGTCCCTTTTACCCCCAAGAAGAGCAACTGAGACACCCACGGGGTCAAATGCATTTAGTGTGCAAAGGCCGTGGCCCTGTCCTAAGGCCCGCGATCCCACCCTTGCCCCCAGCACCAAATGCAGAGGAGTCCGTAAGGAAAGCCCTTGGACTTCGTGGCTCCAGAGGGCACAATTTAGCTCCCTTCTGGACCCCACTGGACCCCCGCTGAGTGCCTAGAATGACACCCGAAGGCAGCTCCTTAGGCTCCCTGAGGCAGGGCTGCCTGTATTTCTCTAGCACAGAGCCCGGGGCCCACAGTCAGTTGTTTGGGCAGCCGCTGCGAGGACTGCAGCGCCTGGTCAAGGCAGAGGGGTAAGGGGCAAACCATAAAAGTTCCCTTTTGGCAACTAATGTACAGGATGCCGAGCTGCAACCCGGCGTGCGGACCTCTTCCCAGGGACTCCCCTGAGCCTGGCAGGTGCCTGCGGTGTCCTGGTTGCCGCGCAGACACGGGCAGTTGGGACCACTTTGGCCAAGACGCCTCCGAGGCACCAAAACCAAGCTTAATAGTTTGGTCTTGGTTCCTGCTCCCACCAAGAATGTGGACGAGCAGTTTTCTCCTAAGATATAATGGGAGGGGGCTTCGCAGCGCTGTCGCCAGAGCCCCGGCTCCCTGTCAGCCCGAGGTCGCTGGGGGGGAGATGGAGCCACTTGGCAGCGGAAGGCAGAGCTACCATTATCTGGAAGATGCTACGGGGAACCGTGCAGCGAACCCCACGGAGCGCTGAGGGGAAGGGGGCGCACCGCTCCGGGGGGATTTGTGTCAGTAGCTCCGAAAAGCGAAGGATGGGGAAGGAAGTAGGAGCGATAATAAGGATCGAGTCCTTCCTTCTTCTATGTCACTTTTCTCTGTGCCTCGATTTCTCGATGTGTGAAAGGAACTTTTCGGTCTATGTCCAGGGCCAATTCCCTCCATCCCCACTGAACTCAGACACTTGGCCGGGTTTTCAAATTACATTCGGCAGCGAACCTAACTGTCCAGACCCGAGTTCTGTTTCGCAACGCAAAAGCCCATCGCAGTTTTCTGGAAGCATCTGTTGAATGCTCCTGCGCGGTGCTGCACAGGTGGCGGCGACAGCGCTGCCAAATCCACGGACTGCACAGGGCGCGCATCTTTAGAAATGCTCGGTTAAAGAACAGTTCTTTATAAACATCGGAGAGAAAACGTACGTCTTCTTTTTAAATAATTAAGCACTCTACTTAAAAAAAAAAATCCCCCATGTCCTTTCTCCGTGAGCGCGGGATACTGCGTCCTGGTTTTACTTGCGGGACTTGTATTTCTTTTGTTGGCGGCTGAGACATTGGCTTTGCTTTTTTAAATGTAAATAGAAATCCCTGGGATGTGTTCGCGAAGGCAAAATGGACTCTGCGGAGCCCGGAGCCTGAGGTAGCAGCCTCAGAAGCCGGGGACCTTTGCACTCTCACGGGCTCCCCGGGAACCGGCTTGGAGCTACTGACCATACTAACCACAATGAGGAGAGGGTGATGCGATGACAATAAAAGTGATAAGAATCATTACAGTGAGAATTATTACTGTTACGGCTACATATTTCGCTTTTGAGGCTGTCCTCCCCTTCTCCCAAAGAAAGGCAAAAGTGCCCAGAGGAACCGGGGTGAAGCCCGCTCGGGGATGGGGAAGGTTCCCTGAGCTGCAGAGAGAAAAGCTGAGCGGCGGGCTGCAGCGCGCCCCGGGTTCCGAATTCGGGGAGACACGGGCAGGCAAGGGCGCCTTCGAGCGGCGCTCGCCCAGCGGCCGGGAACCCGGGAACCCGGACCGCTGAGCCGGAGCCCGGGACTCCGCGGGGTTTGGGGCTCCAGGTTCGGCCAGGAGCGCGGGCTCCGCTTTCCCGGCTCTGGCGGCGCATACGGCCGTTTGGGGTTCCCTAGGAGGCGGCTTGCCCCAGCACTGCAGGACCCGACGGGCTTTGGAAGTTCTGGCAACACTAGCCTGAGGCATAGCGTGTAGGGTAGACATTTAGGGCGCACTTTTTAGATCATGCTAGCAAACTCAAAATAAGTACATGCTGGCTCGCTCGGTAGTCGCCAGGGAGGTTTTGCTGGCACCCCCTGCTTAATGTGTCCCCAGGAGTCAGCCCAAGGTTTTCACGCCTTTTCCTGCCCTTCCTCAGGTCTATGGAGGTTGCACCTGGGAAGAGGAGTCATTTACTGTGGAATCCTTGGGTTTGGTGCAAATCCCCCGCGCCCCTGGCAGCTCCGGGTCCAGAAACTCGCCGCGTTTTCTAAGAATGTAGATACCCCCTTGCCACTTTCACACCAGGGGGCTTTCCCCCTACCTCAAATAGTACCTTCCCAAAACTATAGATTTAAAAATTACGGAAGGAAGTTTCAAAAGATTGCTAAGTAGGAAAAAGTTCCTCATCATTTAAGACTTTGGGAACTTTCTTATAAATAATAGGGGTAGAGTGGAAAAGTTTAATTCTCAGAGAGCCCTGTTTTTAAAAAAACACTAAAAGATTATAGATTGATTTAAAAATGAGTTACCGGGTTCTAGTAAAAATACTCCAAGGCAGAAGCCACACCAAAATTCTACGGGCAGTTTTTTTCCTCCCCTTGTTTACCACAAGACATAAATGCAAGGAATTTTGATAATCATTCCATGCTTTTTTTTCTTTTTCTTTTTCTTTTTTTAGTTTTAAAACAGACCCTGATAACTGGAGGTTGTTTTCTTTTTGTAAATATCAAGTGATATTTTCATCATTTCATATTTTTGCTTAACCGGAAAAACTCAGGATCATATCTATAATGTTCCTCATTGAGACATGACATACCAAATGATAACTTTTATAGTATTTTATAAAGCAAATTTCTCTCTTACAATTCTGAAGGCATTGCATTGGAGGGGGGCATCTTAGATATAGATGGTTTATTATACACGAAGTCTTTTCAAAGTTAGTAGGACTATTCTTAATGAAAAACAAAACAGTTGAACTCTATGTGCTGTGTAGGAAGGCAGGGGGCAGTCTCTGATCATGCCAGTCTTTCTCTGAGTGTAACTTCTTTTTGGAAAGATCCCTGTTTTAGCAAAAAACAATAACCAACTTTGTTTCTTTGTAACCTTGATCAATTGGATGAAAAAGAAACTGAAAACCTTTTGGGATGACTTGAAAGGTCCCATGGACATATTCTGTGCCACTTCTCAGTAAAAAGGTAAATCAAAGTTTAAAATATGTGCTTAGTTTTTGTTAAAACAAATGTTATTGGGTTAATTTAATTGTACCTGACATTCATTCTCACAGTTGTGGTTTCTAGTAATCAAGTATTTATTTAAGTGTGTGTGTGTGTGTGGGGGGGGGGGGGGTTGAGTAGGGAAGAACATGGAATCTAGCCGTCTCACCAAGGAGGAGAAAGTGCTAGAAGCTACCTTAGAGAAACACGTGTTGTCATGGAGCACATTTATGCTATGATGAATGCATCTTATGTTATGGGCATGCATTTCATCCTTCCAGCATCTGATGAGAAAGGTGGCAATTAGGACCTTTTGTTTACATTAAACTAGATTGAAAGATCAGAGCAACAGTGATTTTTCTTTCATTTCTAGCTAAAGACTTGCTACCTCCTTTGTCTACTCTTTCAGACCACTTAGACCTCTACTCCACATTCCTGTAATAATTAGGGCTTATACCATGACACAAAACATTTGCTTCTTTGAGAGTCATCTCCAGAGTAATGGGCTTAGTTTTCCTGGTCTGTAAGTCAATCTCATTACATTATTTTAAATGAGGTTCACTATCGTGCATTGCTATCTAATTTCTTCTTTTCTTTTTTTGGAAGAACTTCCTCATCAACCAAATTATAAGTATTTCAAGGGCAAGGATTTAGTCATATACTTTTCTTCATCTCCTATGTTCTCCTCTATCCTAATACTGGGCATAAAGAACGTAAACAACAATGATAACTTGTAATTGTTGGCACAAAAGAGGTTAGAATGAAAAGTCAAGAAGGTTAGGACTGGTAAAACCTGAATTACTCAACTGCCTGAAATAAATATAGGAGGTATTTTACCAAATTGACCCATCGTACGAAAAGATCATGACAGTTTGAACTGACCAGGGTGAAACTTAATAGGAATACTTGTGAGATACTGAACATTGGGTACCAAACTTCTCTACAAATTTCAGTCACAGAAAAAGTTTGGTGGATTTTTGTTGGCTTCAGGATCAACAAGTCCTTAGTGTGACATAATTACCAGGAAACTTAATTTTATCTTGGGCTTTTTCAACTTTCATAGAAAGGATCAGGCTATAATTAGGCTTCCAGCAACATCTTTTAAGAATAAAGTAGCCCTAACTGGTTTGGCTCAGTGGATAGAGAGTTGGCCTGTGGACTGAAGGGTCCCAGGTTCAATTCAGTTCAAGGCTTTGTACCTTGGTTGCTGGCACATCCCCAGTAGGAGGTGTGCAGGAGGCAGCTGACAGATGTTTCTCTCTCATCAATGTTTCTAACTATCCCTCTCCCCTCCTTTCTGTAAAAAATCAATAAAAATATATTTTAAAAAAGAGAATAAAGTAATTGAGTAGAGTTCATCCATAAGAATGCTCAAGTCAGTAGGGGGCTTGAATCATGTTCTAT